TTGGGCGCTGAAGATGATTTATTTGGCGATGAGCTGGCTTTTTTGATGGAAGGGTGCAATTTGATTGGATGCGCCTACGTCAGCGTCTTCACGTGTCGACGATGCCCATTAACCAGTGAATCATTAAATAATCTTTCTCCACAGAGTGCATCCAGCCTGAAGAACATTTATCTTTATCAGTTAGTGAATAACAACCCTGCTATTGAACAAACAATGCTTACACCGCCAGCCCTTCGAGCGCCTTGAAGGGCTAAGATAACGGGACGGGGCTTTACCGATGCTGCCCTTTTTACTTTCCTTTGAAATTAATGAGCGAACTTGGAGTAAAACCTTCGGGAAAAACGTCTCTAGGCTTTACCAGCTCCATCAAGAAAACGGTAGACTGGCTCATAAAATCAACTTATCACAGTGAGCCTCGCTCTACATAGCCAGTATCGTCTAGTGTCTAGAGTGTGCTTTTGAGGGTTTTAATTGACGGCAAGTCCTCGGCGGATAATCGAACGTAATATTCTTCGAGGAAAGTTGTTTTGAGAACAGGTACGGACAGTCCCGTTTGTTTCTCTACGCCTAACTAAGCACACACCGTTGTTCCCTCTCGCATAAGAATCAGCCACAAAATAATCTTTCAGAGGAGTCCTAAGCATCACTGTCCCACTTCTGAGCAATGTCTAGCCCTCTCTAGCAAAGTCTCTTGTTGGGGCACGGGATTGTTTTTGTTTTCAATCCACGACAAGTACACATGTGTTCCGCGCACTGCATTTACACCATAGTTGCATTAGTTGGCGACACTCCGATTGAGTGCGGTTTTGCCCTCCGGTCCGAACTGCAGTTGAGGATAGTCACTGTTAAGCCGCATTAAATGCCCTTTTGAACGAAGAGCCTTTGTTCGTCAACGACGAACCCTTTCCGACGACTGTCTTTCAGAAGACGGTTTAATCTGATATTTAGTCTCCGCCTCCTTCCTATTCCTTACAGTAGGTGCACTCCCTCGGGGGTAAGCTTTGTAACAATTAAGATATACAGAAGACGAAGACGCGATCACTGGAACAAGAAATGTATTGGCCTGACGCTTCGGATTCTCTCTAGAACAGTCGCAGATAAGGGTAATGGTGGCACAAGGAGTGCGGTATTTATAGCATATGGCTGCCGTGGGACCATATGCGTACTGTAATTAACAACCCTCGCAATAACCGCTGGAGTCGTAATTGATGCGATGGTGGCTTGTCAGTCCGCGTCCGAGTCGTTAATTACCGTGATTTCGCCATCCGTGTTGGATGCTGGTGTGACGATGACTCGGCAGATTGGCTCGCCCGCGCCCTCCCCACGTGACTGACCCCCCTGCTCGGGGAAAATCTCAGCACTGAATACGGTAACGGGAGGTCATTGCGCTTGTTGATGGATTGCGGGCCTGATAACCATGACTCGCGCAGCTCGCGGCTCACGCGGTTGTCACCCCTTGCGAGGATTTCGGCCTCTTAAAACTTGAAAATACGGTCGGGTCCCGTCGAATGAGCCGCCACCTGAGAGCTAGCGTCTCCCCGCCTCACTGCTGCCGTGTGCTCAGCAATTCGCCTCCGGGGTAATTTCCCAGTTTCTCCGACGTAGTTGCTTTGTCCGCAACCGCACCAGATGCGGTAAACGACTCCAGACGTTTCCCGCCGTGGCAGTGGGTCTTTCGACCTAACGACTTCGCGCCTGATGGTTGCTTCCGGCCTTTATGCAACCCCAACTCCAAGTGGAGTGAGAAGACGATTGACGGCGTCCGAGACGTTCTTCACGTACGGACGACCTCACCAAAATTTGGGGCTGGTTGGACTTGGTCTCTGGTGTCGTTTTCGTATGCACTGGTTGGCAAAGTTGCCCAGGTAGCCATTGGTTCTCAGTACCCGTCGAAGATATTGCAATTCAGCAGCCTTGTCTTCCATTTCACTGCAGTGCCTCTCAGCGCGCCGGTATAGCGCCCTTACGCAATTGCGTTTGTGACTGATCGGGTGGTTGCTGTTGAAGTTCAGTATTTGCGTCGAAGTTGTCGTCTTCCTGAACACTTTGGTTTTTAGGCCACCACAATCTTTGCGGCAGACGAAGACATCCAGGAAGGCCAGCTGGTTGTTTTCTTCCTTCTCCATCGTAAATTGAGTGTCCGGGAAGACAGCGTTGAGATGTTCTTTGAATGTCAGCACCTGATCCCGTTCGATGACGACGAAGGTATCATCCACATACCGAGCCCAGAATTTCGGTCTGTGGTGACGGAAAACCAGCGACTGTAGCCTTTGTTTTACCGCCTCGACTATGAGTCCCGAGATTGGCGAACCCACTGGCGTGCCCCCCACCTGCTCGTAGATTGTTCCGTCGAACGTAAATTATGTCATGAGACAGAACTTCAGGAGTTGGATGATTTAAGTGTGTCCGAGGCGATTCTCCTTTTTTGAAGAAGACACGATCGCCGGGACAAGAGCTTTGTTAGCCTGACTTTTCGGATTCCTGCTCGAATCCATCATCAGAGACAAAAGCAGATAAGGGTGGTTCATGCATATGCGACTGCAGTATTTATAGGATGCAGTAGCCATGCTACCGCATACCCATGAATATTAACGGCTCCCTCACCTTCATCAGGGATCGTTGCACGTGGCGTGATGGCCGACATTCGCGTCGTTAATTGCTGCAATTTCATCACTGGCGTTGGATGTTGGTGTGATGATTGCTCGACCATCTGACTCGCTGACCCGGGTGTTGGGAGGAGTGTTCACCTGTGCGCTCCCCGCGTGGCCAATTACTCCGCCTAGACGAAGTCTCAGCACCGAGTATGGAATGGGAAGATCATTGCACTTGTTAATGGACTGGGAGTCAGTAAACCATGACTCAATTAGCTCCCGGCTCAGGCGGTTGTCACCTCTTGCGAGAATTTCGGCCTCGTCAAATTTGAATGTGTGGCCGGAACCCGTCGAATTAGCCGCAACTTGAGAGCTGGTGTCATTTCTCTGCACCGCTGCAGCGTGTTAGGCCATTCGCGTCTGGAGTTGTCTTCCGGTTCCTCCGACGTTGCTTTGTCCGAAACTGCACCAGATCCGATAAACGACTCCAGACGTTTCTTGCCGTGACAGTGGGTCTTTCGGTTTCACTAACTGACGCCTGGTGGTTGCCTCCGGTCTGTGTGCAACTCCAACCCCAAGTGGTGCGAGAAGGCGGCCAACAGCTTTCGAAACGTTCTTGACATATGGAAACGCTCACCAAACTTTGGTGTCCGTGCGGTTAGGCCTTTCGTCCCTTTTGCGTATGCACCGGTTGACGAAGTTGCGCGGGTAGCCACTGGCTTTGAAGACCCGTCGGAGGTATTGTAGTTGGGCAATCTTGTCTTCCGGCTCACTGCAGTGCGTTTCGACACGCCGATAGAGCGTCCTTGCGCAACTGCGTTTGTGGCTGATTGGGTGGTTGTTGAAGTTCAGTACTTGCATCGTATTTGTCGCTTTCCTGAACACATTGGTCTTTAGTCCACCACAATCCTTGCGGCATACGAGGACATCCAGGAAGGCCAGCTGGTTGGTCTCTTCCTCCTCCATCGTAAATTGTATGTCCGGGAAGACCGCATTCAGACGTTCCTTGAATGTCAGCAGTTGATCCCGGTCGATAAGGACGAAGGTATCATCCACATATCGGGCCCAGAAGTTCGGTTTGTGGTGTTGGAAGACTAGCGATTGTAACCGTTGCAGGACCGCCTGGACGATGAACCCCGAAATCGGCGAACCCATTGGTGTGCCCTTCACCTGTTCGTAGGTTGTCCCGTCGAACGTGAAGTACGTCCTGAGACAGAACTTCAGGAGCTGAAGGAATTGGGCGCGTCAAAGACGATTCTCCGTTTCATCGTATTTGCTTTGTAGAAGCAGTTCAATTGTCTCGATCGCCAGGTCCTGGGGAATAGAAGTAAAAAGGGATGTTATATCAAAAGATACCATGACCTCATTTGGATGGAGGCTTACCCCTTTGAGTTTCTCCAGGAAGTCTGCTGACAAGGAGACCGTGGTGTCTGACTCAGCGGTCAGGAACTTAGCCAGTCCGTACGTTGGAGTACCTTTGAGCGACACGATGGGTCGGAGAGGAGCGCCGTCTTTGTGCACCTTAGGGAGGCCATAGAATCGGGCCAAAGCCGTATCTTGGGGTCTCGCCGTGCGTCTGTCGGCCGGTGTTATTGCACCTGAGTTCTCCAAGGCCAACAACGTAGCATTAATTTCGCGTGTCAGCGCTTTTTACAGGGTTCGTTGCACATGGGACATAGAACTGTCGGTCCTCCAGTAAACCTTTGGCTTTTTGAAGGTAGTCTGCCCTGTCCAGCACAACCGTGGAGCGCCCCTTGTCCGCTGGCACGACGATCAAGTCTTTGTCGGCCTTGAGTTCTCTAAGCGCATCACGTTCGACCTTGTAAAGCACTTCCCGCGGCCTGTGGGCCATCAGGCGAGAAGAACTTGGTGCCGGAGGAGGCTCTTAGTCTCCTCCGTTGCCTCCGTCTGACTAAGGATTGATTCCACTGCTGCAATCACGTTAGCAGGTTTGGCGTCAGCCGTGTTGAATGAAGCTTCGTGCCTTAAAACCTGCATCTGATCCTTCGCCAGCTCCTTTCACGGCAGGTTGTGCACCAGTTTGTCGTTTCTGGGCGACTTTGGATTGGGCAGCTTTCGGAATTTGTTCTTCAATCCTTTTTGTCATATTTCTCTCATAGGAGTAGTTAGATGGTCTCAACTGCCAGTTCCTGTGGGATAGAAGTAAAAAGGGACGTGACATCAAGGGGAACCATGACGTCACTTGACAGGAGACTTACTCCCTTAAGTTTCTCCAAGAATTCCATTGACGAGCTGACTGTGGTGTTCGAATCGGAGGTCAGGAACTTGAGACTTCGAAACAACCACTTTGCCAATGCGCAAGTTGGAGTGCCCTTTAGTGATACGATAGGCAGGAGAGGAGCGCCCTCTTTGTGCACTTTTGGGAGACCATTGAATCGGGCCAGGGCCGTTTCTTTCACTCACGCCATGCGTCTGTCGATTGGCGATATTGGACCCAAGTTCTCCATTGCCAACGGTGTCGTGTTTATCTCACGTGCCAGCGTTTTTATGGTGTTGGATTCGCATGGGACATAGGACTGACTACCATCCAACAAACTTTTGGCTTTCTGAATGTAGTCTGTCCTGTCCAATACGACCGCGGAACGCCCCTTGTCCGCAGGCACGACAGCGAGGTCGTTGTCGGCCCTGATTTCCTTAAGGGCATCGCACTCGACCTTGGAAAACCCGTCGCGCGGCCTATGAGCCATGAGGAGGGACGACACTTGTTGTCGAATGAGGTTCTTCGTTTCGTCTGTCGCTCCCGTCTGGCTGAGGATTGATTCCGCTGCTGCGATCATGTTGGCAGGTTTGGCATCGACTGTGCCAAATGAGGCCTCATGCCGTAACACCTGCATTTGTTCCTTCGTCAGCTCCTTTGACGGCAAGTTGTGCACCAGTTTGTCGTTCTTGGATGTACAGATATTCTAAGCCCAACGGATGAGCTGAAGCTGTGGCAATCGCTTCCTCTCAATGTGGCCTTTATGGCGCTCCCATCACTTGCGACGATCGAACTCTGTCAGTCCGAGCACAGAGCGTCACTGTGTTGTTGGACTTCACTTATTACCCACCTTCCGCAACTGTCTCTGCTCTGTCCGTATACTTGTTGCCTGCTCACTCTCAGGTTTAAGTCCAACTAGACGCATGGTGCTTGTTTGCTGACCTCACAGAGTGACAGTGAGCCTGGTGCTACTGATGAATCATGCTTTTCGAGATTTCCTGCTGTCATTTAAGAAGAGTAATTTCCGAACTTCCATTATGGAAGCAGTTCATAGTTTATCAAAGGGAATGTCTCATCCTGATTTTGATGGACCTCGTAACACGCGACCAACCTCATAGGAGTGCACATCGGAAAGACAGATCAGTGGCAATCCAACCGTCGTTTCCAACCATGTCTACCCTGTGCCCTGTGGACGCAGGCACGGTAAAATGCCCGTGAATTAGTTTATAGTGGTAATAGACTTGCGTTGCATCTACCGCACTCTCCCATCTCTCTCTCATCCAGCTGGGCTCGATGGCAAGAGTGCCGAGGGCTGGATCGGGTGCAGGCGGCTGTCGCGACTTGAACTCGCACATAGACATGCCACCGCACTCCCTGATCTGCGTCCAAAAAAACCAGGATTTCACAAAACAAGTAGGAGGAGGGTGGCTCGGATCCTAACTGAGTTGGACGGTCACAAAATTCACATTAGGAGGGCGTTATTGCAGCCTTGCTCTCCATCCTGACAAGAGGACCGAGTGATCCCGTCAGTTAACAGCCTTCCAAGGCACGGCTTATGTACGCCAGGTTGTTTATAGTGAGCAATGTGCGCTGAGAGTCGGCCTCCCTCTCTTGCCTCTCCCCTGCATCAGGCGATTGTCTGACCCGGTCAACCAACGGATCTTGAGATGGGGAAGGTGACTGACAGGGCTGGAAACAGCGCGGCTGACAAGCAACATGGCTCCAAGCATAAAACATCAGAATCTCACACAAAGAGGGAGAAATACTCGGATCTCACTGGTTGCAGAGGAACCACACGGAAAAGTAGCCACGAAACACGATTCCCACTTGCGTCAGAGGTGGCGGCTCTGTGCTTGTGATGGGTGGTGAGGGACGGGCTCATGTTTGCTGTGTGTGTACTGATGAGGAGATATTTAGCGATGCAGTTTGACCGGCAGTGTTTTACCGCATGTATGCGCATGTGACCGAGAAGCCCCATATGGTGACTGAATGTTCGTGGGCAGTTTGGGCGGGTGCGGTGGTTGTATGGTGGCGCTCCATACACTGGTTCGCCGGTCTCAGTGCGGTGGATTCACAAGTGACCAACCAGACTGATGCGTGAGATAAAGGTACGATCTCAATGCGGGCTGATTGGGATCGAGTCCACGCTGTTGGTGGTGTGAACGGTGGTGCTGGCGAGAGTAATTGCTGATGGGTGCTAGGAGCGTTCTCACCAGTGATGGGGTTTAGCGAGGTTGTAGTCGTCGCGGGGTTTGTGACAGGGAAGATAGAGGGATTTGGACCGATGATGTCGGCTGAGGCTTCGTGACATCTGGAGTCTGATTACTCGTAGTGATGGTGGTGGTGGTTGTGAGGTCGGCGGCTGTAGTGGTGTTGGCGATCGCCTTCGTGGAGTTTAGTGCAGGGGTGACGACGGGGGCGTTTGCGAGTCCCGCAGGTGGGAATGTAGGGTTGCTTTTACAGAAATAGCCAACAGGATCGATCCGTGTGTGCGGAATGTTCGCTGACAGCTTGGACACGCTGGATGTTGTGGGGTGTTGGAGCTAAGAGTCCGCGACCCTTGTGACTTGCGAACCCCTCTTTTGGTTTTGAAAACGGCGATCCGGTTGGCTTCGCAAATTGCTGTTCCAGTCTTCACTGCCCTTCTCCAGGTCAATCGGTCCCGGGCGAGGTCCTCCCGGGTCGCCGGATTGATTTGTGGATCCGTGAGGGAGGTCCACGGGCTGTCCATAGTTGGTATTCCTGATTATAACCGGGTTCGAGCCTCCAGAGTTGGAATCCTGGGGTTGGGTATGGCTGGCTGATTGCGGTTAATAAGGCAGGAATTGGCTGTTCCAGTCTGCCTTGTAGGTAGTCTCATTCTGTGAATGTATAGTTTTCGGTAATGGGTTTACTTGTTTGGCCGCCAGCCCACTGCCAGTTACCTGTGTAGCTGATGTGGATCCCGTGTCTCTCTCTGGAGTGTGGAAGACTTATTGTGTCTATGTGTACTGGTCGAATATTCGGAATGGCTAATTACCTCGAGGACGGAATAGCCTACCATCGGGTTAGACGTCTGCCAGGTCGTCTTTAGGTGATCGCACCGCTGGCCTTTTTGACGTCCCGCCCTGATCCCACAAGTATCGGCACAAGATCAGACAATTTCAACTAAGATGTTTCGTCGCCTTAGATCCTGCCAGAAACCTCACCAACAACAGTTACGTCAGCCAGAAAATTCCTCGAAACATGTACATTAGGCCCATTTGAGTCAAGGCCATCAATTAATGCCGTTTGCATTATTCCATGAAAGTTGGAGATAAAAGCTGTGAGAGCACTCCTGATCGTACGCTACGGCATTCATGATTGCACACTTCTCGGCCGATTTGAGACACGCCAGAAACCAACAACTGAAGGACTCAATCTCTATAATCTATTAAAGATACGGGTACCCGGATACATCTGTCGAGCAAAACGAGACCCGAGGAAAACAATTTGCATTCCGGTCTCCCTGAGAGCGTATTTGACAATTGCAGGTTCCATCTAGCCCAGTTGCTTGCTACTTTGGAGGTTATAATACTCCTCATCTTGGGTGAACAATTCTGCCCGGTCAGATGTTGACAATAAGCCTGCACTAAAGCAACGCTCTTTCTTCCCCGAGAATTCTTTCCTATCATTAATCTTTGCCTGTCTGGCCTTTTCTAGCCATGGGCGGCTTGAACAACTGTTTTATATTGATATTGGTGGCCTATCGTTACTAGGTGCATCTGGTCTATCGCTGACCCCCCTCCCTTTCCTCCTTCCCCACCTCTCTACAACCTGTTTTGTAGATTAAGGGTCTGCCGCGGACTGTCACCTGGATGCCGCCCTCGACTGTGATCAACTTCACGGTCACTTTTCGGCCTTCCCAGGAGGGCGCCTGTCACCTGCGATTCTTCAATATTACCGTCTTCACCAATGCCTCGGCATTCTTTCTACCTGCGTCGCTCTATACGGGCAGGCTCGGGGTGAGGTCACTTTCTGCCTGTCTTCCTCCCCTCTTGCATTCTTTCAGAGCCATGCTGATGCTGTAGTCTTCTCTGCCGCCTTCTTACGACCGCTGCAATTCTTCTTCTCTGGTTCATTGCCCAGTCTCTCCCCGCCCCCCCCCCCTTAGGTCACTTTAGATCCCCTAGCTTCTCTTCGCCCTACGCGTTCCGTGTTTGCGGAGCATTTGGCCAGCAGATCTTCCTACATTCTATCAAAAAAGTACCTAGCGTGTGTTTCGTACCATTCACAAACACCTCTTATAGCTAGCCATCTTTGTTAAAGACAGTCTTAGCGGTACCCAGGCTATCCCCTAAATCCTGTGAATCATATTGTCGGTTGTCACGGAGCGTTGAGAGGATATTCTACCCCCTCCCCTCTTCCCCGGGTCTCAGCTCCCACTTATCACTTGAGTGGATCTCCTGCCCTCACGACAACCGTGGTGAGTGAAGTCTCATCTGCTAGAGGAAGGGGTGGGGCGGTGGATTACATTTGTCATGCCATTTTGCCGCCTCAGCTGGTCACATTTTCGTAGACTGCCGACTTGTCATTACCGATGCATCGGTTCACCTGTCAGTTTTCCTTCTCTATGACACACCGATGCTTACTCATCAGCTCCGAGAGCTTACTTATTTCACAGCACTCATGACAGAACCGGGTAACTCACACAGTTATGCTTAACAATCAAGCTCGTTATCTCCGTTGTTTCTGCCATCCCGTTTGGTTGCACAGTCACCTGCTCTGACGCGCTTATTGCTTGATCCACTTTGGTTGCCACACCAACCAGTCGGGAGGAGTACAGTTTGTGACCTATCTGGTGAAAGGTCACGAACTGTGAACGTAAATCTCTGTAGCGCACGAAACGCCCATCCCACATCCACGAAAGTTATGCTACGTTAAAGATATGACCGAGCTTCAAAATAAGGCACATTTTGATTTTAAAGTATTATTTATTGACTAAGAGGCAATTTATTTTACAAAAAACTGCCGAATCAAAAAACGACTCTCTGGCAGGTCAACTATTCAAGGCCAGCAGAGAAAGGGAGCGTCATAAAACGACAAAATGATAAAAAAAAATAGTCGCAAATACAACCTATGAGTACTTTGTCGATTGTCCTTTAGCTTTCAAAATTGCCGTAAGGCGAGAGGGTATGGAGACTACCAAGTTGTCTAAGATGGTCTGATCTATGTAATTATTAAGCAGAAATTCCAACTTTTTTTCCATAGAAAGATATTTTCTTGCCTTGTCCCAATTTCTTTTGATTAGTGCAAAAAGATTTTCGATGGGATATAGGTCCGGGCTGTTGGCGGGAATAAAAATGCTTTGAAGGCCGCAGGCTGAGAGGCTGGCCGTGGTCTAAAATATTGGATTATAGTCGTAAGCTGAATTGGAATCATACCTCCTTTGAGCGCTGGACGGGGGCATTATCCTGCGACATATCGGTGTCCATTGGACGTCGATAAACGCCGTTGTAATCGAAGGCATCCTTTATGATGTCGATGAACACCTTGCTATTTATCGTCTCCGCTGTTGAACGCCAGACCGGTCGCTCTCCAAACCATCAGGCATCGACAGTTCTTGAATGTTGGTGTCAATATAGTGTGCTCTCGTGGAAAGTTCTTCCCACATATGAC